TATAAAGCAGTTTATGTAATGTGATTTACACACAAAAACGATGTTATTTGGGGCTTTATCTGCGGGGACAACAACATATTTGTCATGGAGGAAGGACAAGTGTTTTGCAACATTTTGGGTCTCTAAAGATTGATATTTGCTTTCAGATTTTGGCGTCACGGAACGCTTACTTTCAGCTTTTTTTTTCGCTATCACACAGTAGATTATAAATTTGTAGAGGGTGAAACTCCGATATTACGGCAATCAATATACAAACAAGTGCCGTACGGAACTTTTGCATATTTTGGTCTTTTTTTCATAAAATTTACTTTACAAAGCGTGTAAAAATGTATTTAAAATTTCACACTTTTGTTAAATGACGACAAATTCTTAAATTTCCAATCAAAAGAGTGTTAAATTACAAGAGAAAATTACTCGCATTCTGTTTTTCGTATATTTTGTTCAGAATGCAACTTTCTTCGCGAAAACTATTTTTGACGGAGTTGAGGACTGTTAAAGTGCTTATATTCAAGTATTTGACCGTTAAATTTGACATTTTTTCGACCAATTTATAGTGTCAAGAAATGTGTGTATGGTGTTGTTGAAGTCGGTTTATATTCCCATCGTCCTGGCGACTAGAAGCAGAATGATGTGCAGTTTAACCATAATGATTATTTGTGAATAATTACCTGTAATACATAGGGAAGCTGCATATACAGTCAGTTGCCATCGCCCTTTGTTTTCACAGCTAGAAATTGTTGATTTATCTATCGCGAGTAGGTCGGCCGGTAATAGGATTTGGGACAACTCATCTATTGTATTCTCATGATTACTTAAACTTTGTGGTGGGTGCAAAGTGACTGACACTATTTTTGTTGCAAATAATTGATTCACAACGAACGGACTGCAATAAATTTTGATACTCTGCAATTTTCATTCTCAAAATGAATTGTTTTGAATCTTTGCAAAATGGTTAAAAATCTAGGGTTTTTTGCCTGAAATCTAGGAGTTTTAACAACTTTATATCAATTTGCATCATGTCGGAAAATCAATTTCTTTTTGTTTAGAAAAAATGCATCAAGCTTTTAAATACTACAGCTTAATTCAATTTTTCTTAGAAAAAAAGGCAATTCTCAACATCCTTCAAATGCATCCTGCAATAAAAAAAAGAAATGAATAATATACATACTAAAATTTTAGCATTCCTTTTTGTAAGTTATATTTTACATTTTAAATTATACAATAAACTAAATTTTTAGCCTACTGAAATTTTACATTCAAAACTCAGTGCTAAATTTTTAGCTTTCAGAGATTCTCATTTCAATGTTATTGGCTTGAGTTTTAACCGTTTGAGCAATTTGGACAAGAACAGTTAATACATGAACAAAAATGCTAAATTTTTAGAAAAAAAAATATCACATTTTGCTCGAAAATTGCAATTTTTTTTATTGTAATATACTTAATTGTAAATTATAAGCCTGGTACCTTTGAAAAGTATTTATATCCGATTTTTGAGATGATATTTAGCGACTTTAGCGATCATGTTTTGCTTTGATTAGGAAAATCACGCGTAAGAGTTTACATTTAAGGAAGCATTAGAACCGCATTTCCTAAAACATTCATAAATTGGCATCAACATACGGACTAGTTTATCATTAAAGTATACTAATCGACATTTGATGGGATTGTATTGCTCAATCTGTAGTAGGTTTGCGGTATGGGCTTTACTCATTGTTGAAGGCAGTGCGATGACCTATAGTTGTTAATTTCTGTGTCATTTGGTCTCTTGTGAAGAGTTGCCTCATTGGCAGTTACACCACATCTTCTTTTTTATATTGATATTTTTTCGACATTTCACACTTGTTGACACGGTATTTTCGATCTTTTTCGCCAAATGAATTTTAAGTTTGCCTTAGACATCTGTTTTTCAGCAACCTCTTGTATACTATAAATCAATATTTTTTACCAATCAATGCCAGTATATATATACTGTATATGGTTTGTCTATAATTTTATATGTTGACACTTTAAAGTAAATTTTATGTCTTATGTTCTAAGGACTTTATATGAAGTCAAAAGACATGGAACATGATATTAGGAAATACGAGAGAATGTTTACATGAAAACCATACTTGAACTCTAGTTACAATAAATATTTACATATTGTCATACAAAATAAAACTAGCAAAACTAGTCATATATATAGAGATCAACTTACGTGTAAGTTACCTAGTTTCTCCTCCTCTTATGGTATGCTTAATTCCTTTAAATAAAATTATCATTTATATTAAAAGAACACGAACAGTTGATGTTTTGTCATATAACAATAGAGTCACAACAACTTGGCGCCATTTTGTTATCATAAACAGTCTTCGTCTTTCAAATGCTTTAATTATATTCGATGAATTTAGGAAATGTTAAACGTTTAAGTGATTTTTATATTTTAAGCGCCTTTATGATTTACATTTTGTCTCTAAAGTGCTTGAATAATTGTATCACTTTTAGATTATTTTGTTCTTTAATAATTAATGTTTATTTACAGCTACAATAAAAAAATATGATATATTGATAATTTTATTTATACTACTTGGACAATTCCGGAGTCATATAGTACCTTTAAAAAATGTTTTTTTTTCGATCAAAAACGCTGCGGCACCATATGTGTTTCTTGGACTTATTCACACCCAAAGGTGTTGAACTTTAATAATTTGGCAATTTTGTGTACGTAATTGTTTTAATAAAAACGCAGGACCGAAAAAGGCTACCATTGTCGCCTACGTAAATAATTACTTCATTATAACCTATAGCAAAATGATGATTTTGGGATGTTTTTTCATGTGGACGATATATTTTATGAGGGGACTTTTTAAATCAATATGTGTCTGGTCAGTAAACTGTACAAGAAAAGATTTGGCATTCACAATATACCTATAGTCTATTTCAAATTTTTACTATTTTTATTATTTTTCCGAGGGGTGGGTATGTTTAACCCACAGTTAAACAATAATCCCTGTACAGATTGTTTATATCATTATGTTCTATCATTTCTCATTAGTTTACCTATATTTAGGCATATCAGAAAAAGGGGGCACGGTGTTCCTGATGTTCTGTGTGAATTTTTCCATTTTCATTGCTTGTTAGTCGTAAAAATACCTCCTAAAATATGAAAATTAATTTAAAAATCAGGGATAACACATTTTTCTACACTGTGTCGTCGATTTGAATATGCTATAGAATGTGCACAGAAAACTTACAAAGGCAAGTGTAGATATGCATTGTAGTCTCCTTATAGTCTGTTTCATGAAGTATGGTTTCGCCGTTTTAACTGTTTTATTATATACTTGACGAAAATATACTAAACTTGCCACGAAAAGCGTATCACCAGCTTCGATTCTAGCATTGGATCTGAATATACATTTTTCATAGCATATCCAATTGTAGATGCTGTCAAACTGAAATTAAGTGTTGGTAAAGGTACCCGAGTCTGCAAAAAAAAAGTGTTTTTTGTGATTGGGGGTACCTGTAAAGAAAGTCAGTTTAAATTTTTCACGATCGTCTCTGTGTCGCCAAATTTTGCATAATAGCAGGAAATAGGCATAGCTATCGATATATATGAAACATGTTTGATTTTAATTCAGTTTGCGTCCGTATAGGTTAAAAGGAAGTAAATACGGACTACGGGCGCCACCTAGATTTCACATCCAACATACTAGCTAGAAGTAAATTATTTTTTCTGCTGCCCTGTTAATTAGAAAAGAAAATTGAAACAGTAGGAAATGAACGTCAGCCACTCGTGTAAATATATCAAGAATTTTTTCGGACAATTCTATGTGATTAAGACAGTTATCGGCGTAAGATTAAGCAAAGGGTATGCTTCATTTATACTACTTGGACAATTCCGGAGTCATATAGTACCTTTAAAAAATGGTTTTTTTTCGATCAAAAACGCTGCGGCACCATATGTGTTTCTTGGACTTATTCACACCCAAAGGTGCCCAAACAGAAAATTAAATGAACAAATTGCTTTCAAATCGTATTCAAATCTCTTTCAAATCATAGTTCTGTAATTTGTTAGTACCATTTGCTTGCGATTCATTAAAGAAATTATAAACAAATCAGAATTCGCCAAATTCCCAAAACTGATTTCTTTGTGATTTCTTTCAAATGTATGATTTGTTAGCAATTTGTTTCTGTTTTTGTGTGATTTCTTTATGATTTGTTTACCTAGAATATCGTATGAAACGATTTCAAAAAGATTTGTTAACTTTATTCGCTAAAATTGTGTGATTTCGTTTTGATTTGTTTACTTGGAATATCATAGAAAATGATTTGAAAATGATATGTTAACTTTGTTAGCTATCATGGTGTGATTCATTGATGATTTGCTACAATGAAAACAATGTTATTGCATTCAGATTTTCTGGGTTTGTCTTTATCTCTGACTTCCGGTTGAGGTCAAATTCAAATTTCAAATACTGTTCTACATTAACTGAACAAAGAAGGTTGCAAGATGGAGAGTAAGATATACTATCGATGTTGACAGTGGTAAGTATCTTGGTCATTAACTTATTGTTTCAGGAATTCAATTGTAAGTCAACTATTCAAACATGTCAAAGGTGTTAAACTTTTATATTCGGAAACTGTGCATTTCAATATCTCGTTATGTGTACTGTCTGGATAAATTTTCAAAAAAAAATGTGTAAAAGACATGTAAACAGAACGAGACGAGCAATTAAAGAGTAGCTTCCCGAGTCAGCAGACAATATGCACTGGCAAGTTTTATGTTTAAATTTTTCATGATGTTGACTGGTTTGGTATAAAGCTGTAGCAGATTTGGATCCAGACTAAGACCCATCCCTACTAGTATTCGATATCCTTCATTATAACCCATATTGTGTGTTTAAAATATTCAAAGGATTTTATGTGTTTTAAAATGTACAGATAACTGTGTTATAAACTAATTATCGGTCTCTTCCAAGTGCTCCTAGACTGGAGGGATTTACATAAGAAGAAGAAGAAGAAGAAGAAGAAGATGGCGTCGTCAAAGGACGTCAGGTCAGCGGCAGGGAAAAGACATGATATTGGTCTTACTGAATGTAAAGACTTAAACGAACTGGACTATGTAAGTTTTTACTTGAACATTTTGTATATGAATGTAAACATTTCGTATTTTTCTTCAAATCTCAACAGTATAATCACGGGTATAATCATAATTTTATGCTCATACGATGCAGTCCGACCACATAAGACTTTGCAGCTTATTAACATAGAACTTGCATCTAATTTGATATTTAACATTTTGATATATGAATCGATTGACTGACAAATCTATATTGTGTGTGTTTATCTCATTTCCCATAAAATGTCTCCGATTAATTTTAAAATCAACAAAGTGGGTCGTGAAAGATATTCAGTCATTTCGTACCATAACCATTTCGTACCATTGCCATTTTATACCCAAAATTACCATTTCGTACCATGCATTTGCCATTTCGTACCATGAACATAAACCATTTCGTACCATAAAAGGACCATTTCGTACCACATGGAAAAATGCTTTACCATTTCGTACCATATGGAAAAAATGCTTTTCCATATCGTACCATATTATGGAAATAATTCTTTACCATATCATTATGCTTTACCATTTCTTACCATGTTGGAAAAATGTTTTTTTTTGTACCATATGACTTGTTCATGAGAAATATATTAGAAATTACATGGGAATCTTGTTTTTATGTTAATATTGGTTTTTATATTTACTAAATAATTTCGTTTAAATAAATGTTTTATATACTATTTATTTTAGATATCAATTCCCATATTTATATGAATTCATAATAAATTAATCATCTGTTATTTTTTTTTTACGAATATGATAGGAATAATTAAGAATTAGATGGTAACTTCAAATGGTGCAATTAAGCTATGTGTTTGGACCGTGTTTATCGCTAATTATTTATTTTTACTCCAAAATTTTGTTGTTAATTAAACAACAAAAGAATAATCATCAGCATATGCTTTTATAGTCATTAAACGTTGTTTTACCAGGAAATGCAGAGAAAGGGGCACAAGCTAACATTCAGTGTTCTCCCAAGGATTTTTGGATAGCACCATGGTAGCGCGTGACAAGTTGGATAAACGTGTTGACTTTTGTGACGCGTCGTGTCGTTTTTTTATGGTGTTTTTTTCATAATATGGTTATACCCATATTAAAGGTTTGTTTTTGCATCCTTTTTATTGTTTTCTTCTTAACCCTGTTCTAAGTTTGACATTTTCTGATTTAATAATTGAAAAGCAACAAAGATTTTATATTATTTATTCAAGTTGAAGAATAATAAAACAAGATTTAATACATAACATATGACAAGCACTAAGGAAAGTTACTGTTGTTTTCAAATTTCCAAGTGCTCACTGATTAAAGGCTAATTATTCTTTACTTTCTATATAAAACATTTAGGCATAATAACTAAAGTTAAATTAAGGCAATTTACAGCAAATAAATAACTAGTAAATAAAATTATTTCATTTCACAAGAAGTTTTATTCTTATTTAATTTCAATAAAAAAAATACTGGAAAGGTTTATATTAAAACTAAGAAAGGAAGGAAAGGATACCTTTTTTATCTTGTGTAATAATTTAAAAAATACTTGAAAAAATTATATTAAAACTAAGAAGGAAGGGATGGACACCTTTCTTATCTTGGGTAATTATTAACCAGGGATTGGTCTTCTGTCAATCACTGTCTATACAAAGTTAATAACAATTTTAAATAACAAGGGATGTTGGTGGGGGCTTATCTCGCCCTTTATTTTACAATGATCTAGTTGGTTTTTTCCGACTTTAAAAACTTGGCTCCGACATTGTGAGTTTGATTCCCCAATTTTCCGTATCTTATCAGATTTATGTCAAGTGAAGCTTGGACCACGTGCTCCATAAAGAATCAAAATATGTATGATCCTTAAAATTATTCTCAATCCAACAACGTGTGTACAACAGTCGGCACTGTTTGTGTACAAAGGTAAATTTGCCGGTGTCACTGGTCAACGCTTGGGTGGTGAGTGAAGCCATAAAATTATAATCTCCAGTCATAAATTAATCCAAAATCAATTAAAACATAAAGGAATTCTGTTACAAGTGATAATCAAGTGATTAATTCCAATCAACAAGTTTCATCAGGTAAACATCAAGGTGCAGCTCAAACAACGCCCGGAATTTTAGACCGTGTATAAAATCATACCGATTTACGTTATTTCGAATACAATGTCCGGAAAAATATAGCACCGCGGTCAAAAATTATAGCACCGCGGCAAGACCGATAGCACCGCGGTCAAGAAATATAGCACCGCGGGGCCGCGGTGCTTTAAGGCCTTGGGGAGAACACTGTAACATTTATCATGAAGCAAGCCACAAATTTGTCTGTTCGCATTAGAATTTGCACCTTGTTTTTGTTTTCTTATTTGATAAAAAAGCATGTGAAGTATAGACATCAATTACATGCACCCAATCATATAACAAAATAGCTATAAAATCTTTGATGTGGTATGAAATGGCATACACATAAATTTCCTATATATATGGTACAAAATGGCAAACACTTAAATTTCCTATATGGTACGAAATGGTAAACAAATAAATTTTTGGTATGGTACGAAATGGCAATTTGATCTCCCATGTTGTACGAAAAGGTTACCATTATGGTAAAAAATGGCTTTCTTATAGATTTTGTGTATGGTACAAAATGACATACATATATGTCTTCTTTAACTCTTTATCTACCACTGACCGATATATACGCGGTTTTTATCACTGTTCTACTCGCAGTGACTGATTAATCCGCTTGCAAAATCTAGCGTGTATTCCCATTAACTGATATGTCCCCTGTAAACAAACACATGCGCAATCCCATTGACGGATATTTCCGTAAAATATACCACTGTTAAAACTCTTTAGATTGTACAAGAACATTAGGGAATCCCGAAATGAACCAATGAAATTCGGTTTAAGAAATGAATAATCTTTCGAATGGTATATTCCTTTTCTGACACAGGTAGTTTGTGTACATTACATTTTGTTGTTTTCAACACGTGTTTGTGTATGCAGAAAGCAATTGAAACAATAACGGATTAAAATGAGCTTCATTCTTTGAATTAAACAATGGAGATGAAGAATTTGAAACTTAAACGCAGTCAGATATCATCTAAAGTGAAATTATAATTGTATGGAGTCTCATTATATTGTCTGAGGCGGAAAAAATCAGGTACCCGAACAAAATAACGAGGCATTGACATATTCCACACAGTCAATGAATTTACACTTCCATTTGGGGCATTTTATAATATTTTAAATAACAAGAAAGAAATAGATTGAAGGCATGTTATATATTTTGATTTTATATATATTTAAAACGAAAATATAAGAGCATTTTTAACACAGTTTTAAAACATTTCGCCATGCAAATTATCTCTGGTAGTTAGCCTACAAATCAGCTGCAGTAGTTATCTAATCCGCAGCGTGTAGTAGTGAGATAAGAAGTTAAGGTATGAAACTTAGTCTTTAAGGTTTATGTACCCTTATTTAGGCCTGTGAGTTCATAAAACTTAAAGTGCGATAATATGGAAATAGAACAAAATACTAGTAAAAAGACGGTACCATTTTGCGCATATTAACTTAGGAAATTTCATTCACTGCAATACTTATCAATTTTTTCAGTTTATTTGATAGAAAATGAGCATTTTGTGTTCAATTTGGCCAAAATTTTATAAAAATTCCCCAGACTTTATTACAGGGATTTTTAAAAGGTAGTGCCTTTTAATGGTATTGGAATAATCCATTTTAGGTTAATGAATAATGCATGAATTAGGTCTAACCATGATTTAGGTAAATAACTCTACTCTCATTTAGTGAATGCTATAAAAATTTGTAATAAAACATTGATACTGAATATAATAAATTGAACTGTGTCGTGTTTATGGTTTTTAATCCTTTGATGAAGTTGTGTTTTTAAAGTAAAGAGGTCAATTCCTCAACTGCCATAGTCTCGCAGAAGTCCGCATGAAATATTCCCCTTTTTTATTTGATATTTCAACCTTAAGTGGCTGTAAAAACCTTGTCAGTTGTTCATGATATGTTGAAAAATTGACTAAATAGATAAAACTGTCAAGATTTAGACCCATCGTTCATGGAAATTCAATTTGGTTTTATTTTATTCTTGACAAGTAATTTGCATTTATACATCAAAACACCAAAATCTTCCCGAATAAGAGGAACTGCTATATCGTATTGATTGTCACCTGATTTGTTCTTCGGGTATTCGACGAATCCTAAAGATCTGGTATTTCCCGCCAATTTCAAACCGACTCACCGCAATGAAAAATATAGTCAGAAGATTTTTGTAAAAATATGATGCAATGAATTGTATAGATTTAAGTAAGTACGAACAATTTGGTAATAATATTATTTTTGAAAGGATGCGAATTGGTAATTTTCTAATGAAGTAATTGATATCGCAAGATTTATGTAAATATTTTGGGTGTCGTGCGCAGTAATACGTATTTACGATCCAAAATGGAGATTGATCATTGAGAAAGAAGGAGACACTGTTTGCATCTGATATTTTTCCAAGCTCTTTTATATGCCTGATAGCGATTACAAAGGCACATTAACGATCTTGTAGAAAGAATCGGAATACACATCTTGTAAAGAAAGAAACGGCTTTGGACGAAGTTCACACGTGTAAATGTTGAGTAGATAATTCAGAGGGGGGAGGGGTCCTGATCCAGTAATCCCGGGCTTAACATGAAATCCTGATGACCCGAATACAAAGAAATTTCAATCCCGTAACCTCGGCCTTGAAAATGGACAATCCCGGAGTCCCGATAAAGGTCCGACCCCCCTATTTATGAACTTAAGGTTCATCTTTACACTTTGTCAAAAATGGCTGTGTTTACATCACAGAGTTCGCGAAATCTTTTTTTCCCTGGTGGTCCTTGAAGAAAATCTACTGGTCCTCACTATTAACTCTATTGAAAAATACTAAAATTGTGTCAGTCCTATACAAAATTTTGGTGGTGAAATCCTGAGGACTGACACTTTTCACGAACTCTGACATCATAAAATTTCCTCTGAGTACAGAGAAAACTGTACAATCTAAAAATTTTTAAAGCCTGGCAGCACCTAGATCTATATTTCTTGCATCCATTTTGTCATTTAAAATGTTAAAATCTTTTATGAATTTTGCTGAACATTTTCTTTCCTTTCCACAGAAGATGGAAAAATAAAAAACCACCTAAGATTTAAATGATACAGTCCACTAATTTTGTTGAGTAGATTTCTATTGTCCTATCATTCATGCAAAAAGCATGCTACAATTTACAATCATTACCTGAGGGGACAGACCTTAAATAATTATCATTTAGGATCACCTGTGGTGGTATCGGGTCCGTTCGCGCCCATAACATGTTCGCACCCTACACGTTCGCGCCCCACACGTTCGCACCCTGGGTTCTTTCACGCCCTATTTTTAATAAGTAGATTTTGTATAATGAAAATTGTAATTTTATATTTATCCTTTATATAAATAAAAAATAGTAATTCTATTTCATATTTTGTTTTTTGGTGGATAGCTGATTTATATTCAATGGTAAAATTATTTAAATGATTACTGTTAATTGGTATTTAAAAAGTTAATTTGTTATTATTATATGTTTGAAAATTAGGATTGTTGTTATAGCCAGCTTTGGTGTTAAGTAAAACAAGTAGTTAGCTTGGTATGAGTAAAATAATGAAAGATATTAAATGAAAAAAAAAGATGATTGTTTTAACAGCTTGGTTCCTTTGATCTCATTTGTTTTTAGACAATTAAGCATCATGATATAACATATGTTTGAAAGCTGTTCTGTAACTAGCTTCTGCCTTTCTTTTACAAGTCGAATTATTCATTTCTTCAAAATAATTCACAAGACTCCTTTTAGAATGACACTTTATTCTAAAACAATTATAACAAAATATTATCTATATTTTATAGCAATACACTGACTGAAATACGATTAGAATTATCTTTAAAAAGGGCGCGAACGTGTAGGGTGCGAACGTGACTGGGAGCGAACGCGGAAATGTTTAGCCAAATCCACAATAGTTTCATATTTTCTTAAACAAAAAATTAATACAACCTTTGTATATCTAGGTGCTGCCAGGCTTTAAAACTTTTTAAATTATACAGTTTTGTCTGTACTCAGATGTAATTTCATGGTGTAAACACAGTCATTTTTGACAAAGTGTAAAGATGAACCTTAACTTTTTTTCTCTTTTAATATCTTTATATTTTTTTTTTTTCTTTTTAGCAAGTTTTAATAATAATAGATGGAAAATGTTGGCATTCTGATACTTTAGTGGCCCAAACCCATAATTTCATAAAGAGCTCTACTAAACTATTCTTAACCCGTTACCCTAACCTAAAACATAGCCATAAAATTGAGAATGGAAAACGGGAATGTGTCAAAGAGACAACAACCCGACCACAGAACAGACAACAGCAGAAGGCCACCAACAGGTCTTCAATGCAGCGAGAAATTCCCGCACCCGGAGGCGTCCTTCAGCTGGCCCCTAAACAAATATATATACTAGTTCAGTGATAATGAACGCCATACTAAACTCCACACATGCTCCTTAACTCTAGTATAGGGACCCTTATTTGGCTTAAAGTAAAAGAAAGCTGAAATGTTTCTGTAACTTGTAAGCATGTCTGTATGGTACATTGTATACATGCTATCACAAAGTGGTTGGGCCAAGTAACAATTGTAACTACTTGGCCATTCTCGCTACACAGTACAATATAAGTTATTTCTTCGTGCAACCAGAAAGGCTGAGTTGTTCCAATTGGGCCAAGTAAGTTTTACAAGCCATTAGTAATTTTAGAATTTTGTAAAGCCTGTAGATATTGGGTAGTCCAAATAATTATCACGTTCACAACCATGTAATATGGACGTTGGGAAACTAAATTAGTCATTTTTCAGCAAACCTACGAAAAAAGGTAACAAGTCAGTGGCGGTTCCAGAAGTTTTCATAAGGGGGGGGCTCGCTCCAGTCATGCTTCAGTGATTCCCTATATAATCAACCAAATTTTTCCCTTGAAAGGGGCAAGGGGCAAGTTTTGTGTAATTAATCAACCCAGATTCCTGAAACTTTTCATTTGTTGAAGTTGTGCAAAAGCTATTATGGAGTGGAATTATTTCTTTATTGTTTCCAGACTTGGAAACTATGTAAATTTTATTGTAATTATCTCCTCATACAGTTCAATTAAGATTCTAATACAAACATTACTATAACATACCGGCCATTTGAGACTTTGACCCATTTTTTGCTCACCTTTCTTTAAAGGAAATGTGAGCTATTGCCATCACTTGGCGTCCGTCGTCGTCATCGGTCTGTCTGGTGTAAAATATTTCAAAGATCTTCTCCTCTGAAACGTAACATGTAGAACCAATTCCAACCAAACTTAAGCTGAATGATCCTTGGGGTTTCTTGAATAATGTTTTGTGTTTTATTTTCTGTTATTTTCTTGAATATTATAATAGATAAAGATAAACCGTAAGCAGCAAAAATGATCAGCAAAGTAAGATCTACAAAATGTTAATGTGACCAAAATTGTCAATTGACCCCATAAGGAGTTATTGTCCTTTAATGACAATTTTACACATTTTGTTCATCATATTAGCTAACTTTTAGTCTTATAAAAAACCTTCTCCTCTGAAACTAGTGTACCAAATTCAACCAAACATAAACTGAATTATCATTAGGATGTCTTAAATAAACTAAAATAAGCTAAAAATGTTTATAGGTTATGGAATTCCTTTTCGCAATATTTGATGTTAAAATAATGGCTGGAAAGGCTTTCTCTGACTTTTACCTTATTTTTAGCATTAGTATTATTTGGGTCTGAAATCATAAGAAAGGAAATCTACAATCTGCTTAAATTTTGTTAATGACCTTTTATAAGCTATTTGAAGATTTCTATGAAAAGAAAAGTGGGTGTTATGGGGCAAAATATTTAACCCTGTATCTTAGGGAAAAACCCAAGGAGTCCAAACATTTGACAAAAATTTCCAAAACCTCACCTAAGTACATCCTTAATTGAAACGTGAATTTCTGTTTATTGAACATTTTTGGAGTTATCCGTTTGGAAAAATTGACACTCAAAATATGAATAAAATTAGTTTTAAAATGCTAAACATCTTTTGCAGTCATGTTAGCTGCTCTGCATAATTTGGATCACTTCACAGACTTTGTATTGGGATACCCAGTGTATTTTCCTCCTGTTTTGCAGTTACATTGTATCTGCAAGATATTTTAAAAAGTTCTAAGGTATACATCATATAAATACTAATACATATTTTATTATCAGACATATTTTGCTTTCAGGCATGGAAGGCAAATTACAATCAAAGAGCCTTGCTGCTCAGGATATTATGCCTGAGCCATTCAAAAGACAAAAAATGTTCAATGTCACAGTCCAGTACAATTGAAAGTGTAAAATTTTTTTCCAAAGAAAAGGAACAGTCTGAGGCTTCATATCTGATGTATGATTGTTATAATTCCTTCCATCAACTATCCTTGGATAATTTTTATAAATATATAGACAGTTTTTTAAAATCGTTTGAGAATTCTGAAATAAGTGAGGATTATTGGAAGGAGATTGTTAACTGCTTGGAACTCTTTGACTATAAGTATGAAAAAATTGAGGGAGTAGAATTCTGGTCATCTGAAAAAAGTCCAAAGACTGATGAGGACTTGGTAGAAGCATTTGGAAAGATGTCTTTAGGTAACACATATTATTAATTTAGTTTTGTTTTCAAGATGGTTGGGGTTCTTAGGTCGGATGTCTACAATTGGTTTCCAGACAATAACTGAAAAAATATACATCCGATTCACATTATTCGAACAATATTCAATAATGATTCATTTTTTGGGAAAAGACGGAAGTCTATTTCCTTACACTGCAGCTCAGGTGGATTTTGCTTTTTCCACTTGCCCACTGTGGGCAGCCCACCTGTGCCCACTCTAGCTATATTCTCTTTGTTTTGAAAAATATTAAATACAAATGCTTATCTGCTTATTATACAGGAATAATATATAGGAATCACCCTGTCCGTCCGTCTGTCTGTCTGTCTGTCCATATGTCTTGTATGCGCAACTCCTCCTTAACGGATTGACCAATATTGACAAAACTTTATACAGTTGTAGTACACCACCTGAGGATGTGCATAAGGTAAAGATATTTCTGGTCTGAATTATTTCAAGGGAGACAATTGAATTTACTTAGTTTTAATATAGCAATAAATGGCAACAGGTCTTGTAAGCCCAACTACACTTTAATTGACCAATTAATATTGATGAAACTTTTACACAGTTGTTGTACACAACATTAGGATGGGCAGGAAGGAGGATATATCTGGTCAGATTTTTTTTCAAGGGAGATAATTGAACTAAGTTTGTTTAAATATCACAATATGTGGCAATAGGTCTTATAAACACAACTCCTCCTAAAATGACTAGAAATATTAATGAAACTATGCACAATTGCAGTACATGACCAGAGAATGTGCATTACGTAAGATATTCTTGGTATGGAGTATTTAAAGTGAGATAATTAACTTATTTATCTAAATAAAGTTATTTTACTGTTTTTCACACACTAACTTAAAAAATGCAAAGAGAGATAACTCTTAATCATTATTATTTATTTTAAAGTATATTCCTTTTATTTAAAGTCATTAAGGCCATAGTTATTATAGTTTTAGTTTTACGAAATTTTTTGACAAAACCAATGGGTAGGAGGATGAAAAAACTAAAAAAAAAAAACCTGCTGCTGCTGCTGATTTTTTTTAATACCAACCATCAATATCAAAATTTTTTTTTTATTTCACCAGGAGATTTTCTCCTAGTGTAACAACTATTTTTTTTATCTTGACAAGGTTTGAATTGAAAATCAATGAACAACTTACTAAATCACCAATAGCATAAATTTAGATTCTTTCATGCAGCTATGAACTAAAATTTATTTATTTTTTGCATGAAAAACACTGGGTCGGAGGAGAAAAAAAAATAAAAATCAACATTTTTAATTTTATTTTTTTTCCTATTTTGCAAAAATTAGGGTAGGAGGGTTCGTAAAACTAAAAATAAAAAAACTACGTCCTAAAAGTGGTGACATTTTCATTTTGTGTCAGAAACCTATGCTGTGTTAAATATTTAATCACAATCCAAATTCAGAGATGTCTCAAGCTTGCCTTAAATATGGAATTGGGGTATCCTTAGTGAGTTTACTCACAGTTTTACGCAAAACTCTCATATGCTAAATACTATCCACACTAATCTGTAACCACTCTTGTTTCAATTGAATGTATTTGCAAGTCTTTTGATAAAACAAAAGAAAGTTGGTCCAAATCAGGGTCCAAAATTAAACTTTGTTTGATTTCATCAAAAATTGAATAATTGGGGTCTTTGATATGCCAAATCTTACTGTGTATGTAGTTGTGTGGGTGTTGCACTGTTTGACGCATTACAAATTTTGGAATTTCCGTATGTGTTGCAATGTGGCTCATTGCCATATATGGCACCCGATAGATGGCACTCTCATTAGAATTTAAAATTTGGGAATTCCAATATCGGCACTTGTGCATAAGTTGTGGACGACAAAGCAAGTGTATGCTTAATTTTTGGTCCAGTTTGGTCCTGTTTTCAAATTGGTCTACATAAAGTCCAAAGAGTCCAACATTAAACTGAGTCAAGTTTGATTTTAACAAAAATTGAATTCTTGGAGTTGTTTGATATGCTAAATCTTAACATGTACAGTACACACAGAGAGGATGTAATCTCATACTCCCAACACTGATTCTGGTGTAACACAGTGTCATATTGTGAAACACAGATTTCTCTCCCAAAAAACACCAAGTAATTACTCCCATCTCGGAGGGTTTTATGACCTGTTGATTGCAGGTAAGAGTAATAAAAATCAACAAAGCATGACTGCATGGTCTGACAGTGACATAATTACAGGTCAACTATTCTCTCACTTCTTCCTATTTCAATCATTTCCTATTTAGTTTTATTTCTGAAAGCACTAAAAAAAGGTTAACGAAATGATTTTTAAAATTTTTATACAAATATGTATTTTTAGATTGGAAAATTATTTACATTCTTTCATAATCTCATAATCAAGAATGGCAACTTGATATTTACAATAAGTTGTATTTATAGTCAGTTTAAACATATAGATATTAGTATATGTACATGGTTTAAAAAATAATAGTAATGATACAAAAAAAAATAATGAATAAAATAAAATAATGTAGATAAATTACATATATATATTATATTTATATAATCTTCCTTTATTTCTTATCATTTAAATTTAGAAAAAAGGATTGAATAAATTCAATTAAAATATATGTCTTTATTTTCTATTAATAATACTCCACTTACAGGTGATGTTTTGTTTGTTTTTGTATGTTTCTTAGGTATGAAAAACCCAACACTGTCAGAACAAATGCTGAATATAATTTTAATAAATAAAGTTGTACAGGATTCTTTAATAAAATTAGATTATAATATGTCTCTGATTAAATTTAACAAATCTCACACTTTTCATCATTTTTGTGACTGTTATTTAATGACAGGAAACACAAGAAATGTTTATTGTAGTCATCAACTACTGGCACACTTCAAAGGTAATCATAGCAATAAAAATCATGTTGTTGGGAGAAACCACACCAAGGTAATAAACAATTAAGGAGTTTTAGGGAGGAATTACTCCAAGTTTCTCCCAATTTCCTCCCAAGATTTGGAGAGAGTTGCTGGAGTTTCTTGGTGTGACACCAAGTTTTTACACAGTGTAGGGAGTATGAGATTACATACTCTCTGTGTGTACTGTACTTAGATTTTTTATTGTGGGTTGTATTGCGCAACAGCATGAAATCTTCAATTGAAAATAAATTCAAATCATTTAACCAATTTCAAGTTCTTTAACTACATTTATTCTGTGACAGAAAACTATCATGTGTCAAATATTTAATTAAAATCCAAATTCAGCCTCTATCAAGCTTGAATATTGTGTCCTTATTTGCCCAAACTGATCAGGATTGGACCTCTGCGGTCGTATCCAGCTGGGTCTGTCCATTAAGCCATGACATAAAATGGGACATCATAGTTATATTTTAGAATGTGACACAGGTTGAAAAAAAAAATTGATTCAGAAAAAGGATATACCAAAGCATCCAGAAAAATATAACAGAAGATAGTTTGACTATTACAAAATTGATTTTGGACGCCTTCTTTTACCAATAAACATTTGTAACATATGTGACATGTCAAATATCCATTTTTAAAAGAAATATTTATGAAATCTTCTACACTTTGAAAGCTGAGTCAACAATGATGAGAAACAAAAGTAGATGTCATTTAAATTTAAACAATTAGCCAAATGAAGATGGGCAATGATATTGTTTTCACTTCTTCATTATAGCATATGTGACAGATATTTTGGCAGTTGCTTTATTATTTGTAAAAAAATCCTCTCAAAAGTATTGCCATAAAGGAACAATTTTTATTTTATAAATATAATGGAAATTATATTTGTAACACAGGTTTAATGAAATTATGAAGGAAAAAAAAAAGCCATTTTTCCCAAACATATGTGACTTGACATTTTGACATCTTGTATAACATGTGTGACTTTTTACAACATTTATATTTATCTTTTGATTTTCTACTTCAAGTTAATTGAAAAACTAAGTAATTAAGTTTGGATATTTATCCTAAGATTTTTATGCCCCACCTACGATAGTAGAGGGGCATTATGTTTTCTGGTCTGTGCGTCCGTTCGTTCGTCCGTCCGTCCGTCCGTTCGTTCGTCCGTCTGTCCCGTGTCAGGTTAAAGTTTTTGGTCAAGGTAGTTTTTGATGAAGTTGAAGTCCAATTAACTTGAAACTTAGTACACATGTGCCCTATGATATGATCTTTCTAATTTAAATGCCAAATTAGAGTTTTGACCCCAATTTCACGGTCCACTGAACATGTAAAATGATAATGCGAGTGGGGCATCCGTGTACTATGGACACATTCTTGTTAGTTTTGCAATTCAATATGATATGCATATTTATTATTTATAATCTAGTATTTAATATCACAATATTTATGATGTTCTACTTCCATTCTGTAATATTATAAGAGACCCCATTCTAAATCTAATAAATTATACACAAATAGGACATATCAATGCAAATGAAACACAATGTACATGATATAAGAATGTGGTAATCGGAGGAGCATTTTCCTGCTATGAACTAATGTACTTTCAATATTGTCAACAGTGTAAGAAACTTATTGAGAAACTAATCTTGTAGCAAACATTTTGATCTGTATATAAGAGAGTCAGAATATACGAAAGGGAGATTCAAACTCATAAGCCAAAAACAAACTGACAATGACATGTCAAAAAACTAAAGAAGTTAAAAAAACAAAACAAAAGTCTAAAAAACACAACATAAAAAAACTAAAGACATGACGAATTTTGGAATCTGAAATCATCTTTTTTGTCGTAAAGTTTAGTTCTCAACTGACCTTCAATGTCAATGTCCATATGTGTCTGTCCCTGTTGTCATTTGTTGCTGTTTATCATATTTTTTTTTTTATACCCCCGCTTTGAAAAAGGGGGGTATACTGTTTTACCTCTGTCTGTCAGTCAGTCCGTCCATCCGTCCATCCGTTCGTCCTTCCGTCCCATAAATATTTTCGTTGCATTTTTCTCAGGAACTACATTTCAAGGATTTCTGAAATTTGGTTTCAAGGTTTATTAGAGTGAGCTATACCGTGTGATGCATTTTCAGATTCATCACTCAACAACTTCCTGTTTACCGAACACTTACATCATTTTACACATGATAGCCAAGTTGAAAATTTTTGTCACATTTTTCACAGGAACTATACATTACAAGGATTTCTGAAATTTGGTTTCAAGGTTTATATGAGTGAGCTATACCGTGTGATGCGTTTTCAGATTCATCACTCAACAACTGCCTGTTTACCGAACACTTACATCATTTTACACATGATAGCCAAGTTGAAAATTTTCGTCACATTTTTCTCAGGAACTACATTACAAGTATTTCTGAAATTTGGTTTCAAGGTTTATATGAGTGAGCTATACCGTGTGATGCATTTTCAGATTCATCACTCAACAACTTCCTGTTTACCGAACACTTACATCGTTTTACACATGATAGCCAAGTTGAAAATTTTTGTCACATTTTTCTCAGGAACTACAGTAACATTACAAGGATTTCTGAAATTTGGTTTCAAGGTTTATATGAGTGAGCTATACAGTGTGATGCATTTTCAGATTCATCACTCAACAACTTCCTGTTTAACGAACACTTACATCATTTTACACATCACTCAACAACTTCCTGTTTACCGAACACTTACATCATTTTACACATGATAGCCAAGTTGAAAATTTTCGTCACATTTTTCTCAGGAACTACAGTTACATTACAAGGATTTCTAAAAACTTATCATTTTGGGGTCCTTTGCAACTTGCCGTGTGGTGTTGGCTTTTGCTCCGTGTTGAAGCCATAGGGTGAACTAAAATTGCTATTAACTTCAACATCAGTTGATCTCTGGTGGAGAGTTGTCATATCTGCAATAGTACCACATCTTATTTTTCTATGGCAACAAACGGTCTGTTTAAATAGTTTTATTAGTCCCCTACTTAGTCCCCTACCAACAAAGTTGGAGGGGACTTTAGGTTTGCACTCTGTCCGTCTGTCCGTCCGTCTGTCTGTCCATCTGTCCGTCCGTCCGTCAATCCATCCGTCCGGCAAATCAGCTTTCCACACTTTTTTTCGTCATGCTTTAAGATATTGGTTTGATATTTGGTATATAGTACAACCATGACAAGTTACAGATCAAGTTCTTATTTTGTTGCGGTCGGATGATTTTTTGCAGAGTTATGGCCCTTGGACTTAGAAAAATCACATAAGTAATCAGTTTTCCTTACTTTTTTTAACCATGCTTTAAGATATTGGTTTGATATTTGGTATATAGTACAACCATGACAAGTTACAGATCAAGTTCTAATTTTGTTCCGGTTGGATGATTTTTTGCAGAGTTATGGCCCTTGGACTTAGAAAAATCACATAAGTAATCAGTTTTCCCGCACTTTTTTTAACCATGCTTCAAGATATTGACTTCATATTTGCCATATAGTTTAACCATGACAAGTTATAAATCAAATTTGAATTTTGTTACGGTCTGATGATTTTTTGCAGAGTTATGGTCCTTGGAAAAATTCACTCAAATAATTGGTTTTCCACATTTTGTTTTTTAGCTCACCTTTCCTAAAAGGAAATGTGAGCTTTTGCCATCACTTGGCATCCGTCGTCGTCGTCGTCCGTCGTAAACTATTTCAAAGATCTTCTCCTCTGAAACTACTGAACCAATTCCAACCAAACTTGAGCTGAATGATCCTTAGGGTATCTAGAATAAAGTTTGTGTTTTATTTTCCATTTCGTCAAAAAACATGGCCGCCATGGCTAAAAATAGAACATATGGGTAAAATGCAGTTTTTGGCTTATATCTCTTAAACTAAAGCATTAAGAGCAAATCTGACGGAGTAAAAATGTTCATTAGGTCAAGATCTATCAGCGCTGAAATTTTCAGATGAATTGAAAAACCAATTGTTGGGTTGCTGCCACTTAATGAAATTTTGCAGTTTTTGGTCATTATCTTGAATATTATTATAGATAAAGATAAACTGTAAACAGCAAAAATGATCAGCAAAGTAAGATCTACAAATAAGTTAATATAACCAAAATTGTCAATTGACCCCTTAAGGAGTTATTGTCCTTTAATGACAATTTTACATAATTTGTTCATCATATTTGCTAACTTAAAAAAATCTTCTCCTCTGAAACTACTGAACCAATTTCAACCAAACTTAAGGTGAATGATCAGTAGGGTGTCTTTAATAAAGTGTGTGTTTTAGTTTGCATTTCGTCAAAAAACATGGCTGCAATGGCTAAAAATAAAACATAGGGGTAAAATGCAGTTTTTCGCTTATATCTCAAAAACTAAAGCATTTAGAGCAAATCTGACATGGGTAAAAATGTTCATTAGGTCAAGATCTAACAGTGCTGAAATTTTCAGATGAATTGAAAAACCCATTGTTGGGTTGCTTCCACTTAATTGGTAATTTTAAGGAAATTTTGCAGTTTTTGGTCATTATCTTGAATATTATTATAGATAAAGATAAAACTGTAAACAGCAAAAATGATCAGCAAAGTAAGATCTACAAATAAGTTAATATGACCAAAATTGTCAATTGACCCCTTAAGGAGTTATTGCCCTTTGAAGACATTTTTCACAATTTATTTTTTTGTTGGCTTACTTTAAAAAATCTTCTCCTTTGAAACTGCTGAATAAATTTCAGCCAAACTCAGGCTGAATGAGTTTCAGAGTATCTAGTATAAATTTTATATTTATTTCCTTGTACGTCAAGAAACATAGCCTGTATGACTAAAATAGAACATAGGGGTAAAATGCATTTTTTTGCTTTTGAAGAAGATATGATCAGATTCAAGAATATTTATATATTAAATTGAAAAGCCAAAAAAATCATTGATGAAAGATTTAAGCAAAAAATTTAAGGTGAGTGATTCAGGCTCTTGAGAGCCTCTTGTTTTGCAAAGTAATGGTCCTTGGAATTTGATTTTTGGGAACAATGAATTTTAACTGGTAGGGGACTATGTATTGCCATGCAATACTCTCAGAATGCTGGATACTATCCATGCTGGTCTGTGTCCACACTTGTTGTTTATCAATAACATGTGTGATTATTGACAACATCACATATGCCCATTGCTTCTAGTTTCATGAATAAAGTTTATAATAACGTCAAGATTCAATAACGTTTTTTAATTTAATTATAATGAACCAAAGAAATAAATATTTCTATTTGTAAGTACCATCGGGATATGATAAGCTTCAAATGTTCATACATGATTGTTGACAGCACCATCATCACATATGTTACTATTAAGTGATAACAATTTAAATACATGATTTTCGGTACTGATTGAAATTCCAAGTTACAGATGAGAAATCTTCACCAAGTTAAAAAAATAATTCTAAAAAGAATTTTCTGCATGTATCCCAAAGTGGCAGTAACATGCAATCTAAAACAATTGTGATGTTTGACTTTCAATATTATATAATCACAAAAGAAAAAATGTCAAACAGTCAAATCACAAATGTGCACATATCCTAATGAGGTCCTTGTGGTCTTATCATACTTTGGTATTTGGGAACAGACGTATATTCTCTGTTTTCAAGAACTACATATTTTTAAAGGATATCAAAACAGGTATAAGACAATTTATTCTCGATTTCATGTTCATTTGTGATAAATTGTTCATATGTTATAATGCTGTGAAGTGTTGACGGACAAAGTACAATTGGCAAATCTCGGCAGATTCCTCTACCCTACGTTATCATAATTGTATATAACAATGCAGTGATGATGACTTTCAATATAAGCAATTGTCCTTAATAATGACTCCTGTAAACAATGGATAACAATGAAAGTGAAATGCACATTTGTTATCCTTAATGTTGACGGACATTTGAAAGAAGTTTTTTTTCTTTCTTTTTTTCTCTCATAGAAGAATTAACAGGGGCAATATAATCCAAATATGAATAGGTCAACTATAAAGGTCCTTGTTTTCATATACATTAACTTTCAACTGACAGCTGTTATATGCATTACAAATATTTTTCTGTAAATATAAATTTGACGGACAGTAATCACAAATGAACTGCATATTAAAACATTAAAAATCACCCATTTTCACCAATTAAATTCACAAAACAAGTAGTTTACGACAAAAAACACACTATTAAGAACTAGCTGAAATGAATAAAAACCATTCACTTTATATTTTTTCAACATATTTTTAATCTTTTACTTGGTGATGTATAATTTGTCCCATTTTAAAAGGGCAAAAATGAGGCCTTTTTGAAATATAATCTTTATTTAAAAAAAAGTTGACAGCCTATCAAAATATAATTATTCATACTATCTCTTCATTATATAAGCAACATGTTTGCCCATTTTGCAGCATTCAATTGCTTCTTACAAAAAAATATTATATGTTTTCCCTGCTATACCACTAAAGCACTGTGTAAATGGACTGACCCAGCTGCGCTCGGCAAAGCACATTTTTATTTTTAAACAAGCAACTTGTTTTTCTCACCTATCCATATAAACTTACAGCATGTTTTTCCCCTACCTGTAAGGTCCATATTACCCCATGTACAAGTCAGGGAAGGAGGATATTTGGTCAGTGGATACATCTTAGGTATTAACCAACTGGATGATTATATCAGTACCAAAATAAGGTGACCTTGCCCTACATTTTTGTTATAACACGCTTTGCAAAGAAAGGGAGCAGTGGTAGGAGGGGATTAAAGCTGTTGTTTACTACTCCTCCATTTCATGCATTTCTTTATTATATATATTTTCAGAACAAACAGCATATGTATCAGCATTTGTGCAAGCATTACGGACTGATATGAAGAACGGCCATGCTAAAATGTGGATAGATGAATTGATAAAAATCCTTTTGAAATGTGTCGGTGCTGATGGGTCAGCTGACGTAAGTGGTTTTGCTCCAGTTCAGTATGACAACACCAACACTGTCATGGAAATTGTTTTTGGTGATTTAGATAATTCAATTACTCAGATGGAGTATAATGCAGAACCCTATTTTAGCAGTTCATTCAGTAATTCTTCATCTTTAGTAAGCAGCCTTTCATCTTTAAATCTCGAATCAACAAGATTAACTGAAGCAGCTGATTTAGCACCAGAAGTACATCCTGTACATTTATCACAACCACACAAGAAAGTTGTGCCAGATTTTTGTGTTGCCCTTCCAGCCTTTCCTGGTATGTTCCCATTAGTATTTGAACTGAAACCTGCCTATCAGGAGTCACATGGACTTGTTCAAAACATTCAACAAATGTTGTCTAAACTGTTCTTCCAAGATATTGTTTTTGGCATTGTTGTCTCACCTAGATCATTTCAACTATCAGTTATTATAAAAAAGGATAAAGATCTTCATTTTGCAAGTACACCCAGTATGACATTTAGAGGTATTCAGAATCCACCAAAACTTGATTTGAAAGAGTTAAATACAATGTGTACCTTCATATTCAGAGTCTTAAAATGGGCCAGGAAATCAAAATGCATGATCAAAACCAAAGACAGCTGTGAGTTGGAGAAAAAATCTGAAAAGTCACTATGAAAACTTAAAGTCATATGAAACGAGTTGTAGAAAAAAAAGTTGAACATGATTTTTTTAACTAAATAGTAAGTTTATAGTATAAAACTTTTATCCATACACTTGTTTTTGTGAAAACTCTTATATTTCAATGTAAAACTTCATGAAATGTACGGCTTCTGAATTATTTACTTCCAGTGAGTAATTGTTCCGAGATTCACCGAATGCTTTTCGGTATGCATGATTTCTCTCGTAAACAATGTGAAAGCCGTTACTGCGCAAGTAAAATTGAAAGTGAAAGTAGATAAATCAACACAGCTTAATTGTCACACTAATAAAGCACGTGATTTTTTAGCACGCTTTTGTCAATTGTTTGTCAATATTAACGTGTCGGAGAACATCGGAAGGTTTTCTCGGACTTTAATAAGCAAAGATGGTTTCCATATAAAATCAACGAACACATTATTTTGTTTGTAAATTACACGTTACAGACTCAATATAAAAAGTGAAAATATATTACAAAGGTCTTAGTTTAGTGTATGTGCATGTATTGGACGAATAATTTAGTGAACATAATTTTTTCCACCAACTCGTTTCATATGACTTTAAGGTAGATGAGGTGTATAGATTTTTCTGAAACTTCTTTAAAAGACCTCTGGGTCAATTTCTTTCAACTTTAAAAATCTGGGGGTCACTGGTCTTTAATAATACATTGAAATTAACAGAAATAACAGTTTTTTATATGGGTTTATTCTATATATATAGGGGAGAACTTATTTTTTCTAATTGAGAAATATTAGATGACAGAATTTGTTTAACTTCAAGGGGGAAATAATTTCAAAATATCAAATACAAATGGAGAGTAACAGGCCTTATTTTCTTGACAAATTAAAATAAATATGATTTTTCCTATCAAATTCAATTTAATTACGTGGGGTATTTTCCATTGATTTTAGAATTATTTTTTTTTTCGAAAGCTTAAAATATGCTAAACAACACTTATTTAAAAAAAGAAGAATCAATAAATTTCAAGAATAAAATATTCTGTTTCATTTTAATTATTATCATAAAATATTTCTAAACAAATTTTTTTTCAACATGCGCAGCAGAGATGCTCAGAAATAAACATCCCATCTACCTTAATTAATCACTGATGCCTTTCACAGATATTTGTTTTTCAGTTGTGACACAAGCAGTTGATAACAACATTCTGTTATCTACTTGTTGTGTGCAAGGTAAGGGGGGAACCTCTAGTTAGGTTCGATGGACTTTCACTAAGTTTAACATCTGAGGTCTGATTTCAGCTTTTAATTGATGAAGAATCATGTAAAATGGTACAGGGATGTATCTTGGGATGTCCTATCCTTCCTACATTAACCTAGTATATTTTGAAAATCATATCCTTCCTTGCATGATTGTCCATTGTAAACTTCTTTAAAAATCCACGCACTGGCAGGATTTTTAGGAAACTTGGTTCTGATGTTCCTAGGGGTACATGTATCTAGTTTGATTCTTCAAAAAGATGGCAGCCATGTCTAAGACTTACTGACACCTGTGTTTTATGCTCCCAGAACTGAAAGTTGGGGGGCATATTGTTTAACTCCTGTCCATCCGTCTTTCTGTCTGTCCGTCCCATTATAGGTATAGAGTCATTCCTGATAACTCCTCCTACAGTTTGTATGATAGGAAGTTTTCACTTTGCTGGCTGTTTATACATATATTGAAGGTGTGCATGTGGTCAGGGTTTTGATTTTTATTAATATTTGCTCTTTTTGGAGATAGTTGAACCAAAGGGCCATGTGAGCTTATGCCATCACTGCGTCTGTTGTCATCGTAAACTATTTCAAAGATCTTCTCCTCTGAAAATATTGGGCCAAATACTTCCAAACTTTAACTGAATGGTCCTTAGGGTATCTAATTTGTAAATTGTATCCGAACTTTTGATCCTTCAACAAACATAGCCACGGTGGCAAAAAATAGAACATAGGGGTCAAATGCAGTTTTTCGCTTATATCTCAAAAACTAAACCATTTAATGCAAATCTGACATGGGTAAAAATATTCAATACTGGTCAAGATCTATCAGCCCTGAAATTTTCAGACGAATCTAACAATTCATTGTTGGGTGGCTGCCACTAAATTGGTAATTTTAAGAAAATTTTGCAGTTTTTGGTTATCTTGAATATCATTGAAGATAAAGATAAACTGTAAACAACAAAAATGTTCAGCAAAATAAGATCTACAAAAAAAGTTTGTATGACCAAAATTGTCAATTAACATCTGAAGGAGTTATTATCTTTTAAAGACAATTTTACACTATTTATTCATCATACTTGCTTAAATTTTAAAATCTTCTCCTCTGAAACTACTGGGCCAAATACTCTCAAACTTTAACTGAATGTTCCTTAGGGTATCTTATTTGTAAATTATGTCTAAAGTTTTGATCCATCAACAAACATGGCTGCCATGGCTAAAAATAGAACATTGGGTCTAATGCAGTTTTTAGCTAATATCTCAAAAACTATAGCATTTAGAGCAAATTTAGCACAGATAAAATCTATCAGCCCTGAAATTTACTGATAAATTCAACAACCCAATGTTAAATTGTCAATTTTAAGAACATTTTGCAGTTTTTGGTTATTATCTTGAATATTATTGAAAATAAAAATAAACTGTTAACAGCAGAAATGTCCGGCAAAGTAAGATCTAAAAATAATCAATATGGCCAACATTTAAATGGTATTTTAAAGCAAAAATAATAATTGATGAAAGGTTTAAGCAAAAGGTTACAGGTGAGCACCTCCTTATTTGGAGTATATACTTGCATAAGAGGTGCTGGCATTTCCAGATAACTCGATCCTCCTACAGTTTCAATGCTAGGAAGTTTTCACTTTGCTGGCTGTTCATACATATATTGAAGGTGTGCATGTTGTCAATTGACATTTAATTTATTCAGGGTTTTGATTTTTGTTAATATTTGCTCTTTTGGGAGATAGTTGATCTTTGTCATTTTTGGAGTATATACATGCATAACAGGTGTATAACATTTCCTAAATAAGACTACATCTGTGGGGACATCATCTGTTTCACTTGAACACAATAATATCTCAAAGAAAGTCCTACATTGACATCAGAGTGGAGTGTGGGGACATATCACTTTGTCTAGTCTGATATAGTGTTAAAATTGTTTTTCGTCCTGATCATGCATGACATATTTGTTGCTGGATGTTAAGCAAACATCATTTAATCAATTTTATTCACATATGTGTTAAATATGTTTTTCTTCCTTTTTAGGATGTTTATATGACTTCTATGATAAATATGAATTTTTGTATAGGAGAAGCCAATGAATTATATATAAATAGGCAGGTGTTGCATCAGATTAATTTGTTGTAAAACTTAATTTGAATAAGTTTATGTTACTATGTTGTTGATGTTTACTTTATTGATTATGTTGACTGATTTTTTATAATTTATATGTAATTATTATATAAATATGTTCATATACACACAAATAAATAAATTGTATGCTTTATTAGGGTTTTGTTATTGTGACAAAATAATTCTACAAGATAAAAATGAGATAGTATATTAGTAGTCACGTGTTGTACGGAACGAACAGCTAATGAATAAAACGATCTCGGAAGACTTTTGATTTCTCAGAAACTGTATTGCAATCTAGAACTGTATTGCAATCAAATACTACCATACATTAAGCTATTTTATTGGTACATGTAATAAGTTCTTCTCCACGTTAAACAAATTTAAAAAAAGAAGAGAATAACGAGTAATGTGCATGTCATTTAAGAAAATGTATGTCAAAAATGTCTAAACCAGTTAAAAAGTTAAAAACGGTTGCTTGATAAGTTAAATAATTGTATTTTGATACAGTCATAATGCGTTATTACCTTTGTTTTTTTCCAACGAACCGTACTGTAAATTTAGGAAAACGCACAACGAACATACACAAAAATTTCAACGAACCATACAGTAAACAAAATTATGAAGTTATCAATTTTACAAAATTCATAATGATTACAATAAAATGAACAGGTCTAGTATATTCTTGAGAAAAATATGCTTTATGCAGGCATATAAGTTTTTATCTAGAGTTATATGTATTCAATTTTAAGGCATATTTATGGCTGTTTTTGGATGTTTGTTTGTAAACTTAAGTGCGTTTTTCAGAATGTCATTTTCAGGTTGAGTTAAAATGGAATTGAAAAACATATATAGTTAACTGAACATGTAAACATTGTGTACAACACAGTTTTGTGTTTAAATTTTGTACATACATGGGCTTATTTTCAATATAGAATATCTACTCTCATCAACTTGTTGTTGTTCATCGCTTCAGAACGCACAACGTCCGGAATCAACTGTATGTCGGTTATACCCTGTGTATACATTGTAATTGATAAAAAAGGTATCTAAGTGACCATATGTTCAATAGTTAAATTTGAATAATTGACCTCCCCTTTTTAGGAGTTTTGTATTTTGATTGGTCAATTATTTAGGTATACATTAAATGATTTGTTCAGATTGAGGAAGAATTAGGATAGAGGAAAACTTGCTAGATTGTTGAGGATAATGAACTTTGTGTAATTCGAAGATTTTATAATGTAGACTTTGATCACATCATGGTGACTTAATTGTGAATTCCTATATGACTTGTGTTGTAAATATGAATGCTATATCTATTTGAATAATTAATATACAATCATCAACTTTGTGTTTTATTGACTTGATGTGTTGAATACTAAAGGAAACAAGACTATGCCTTACCTATGCTCTACCATCATAATTCAGAGTTAGTTCCCCTACAAATTAATATGATCAGAGTTGGACTGCAGACAATAACAAAGCTAGTTCCCCCCAATTTGTTAACATGCGCAGCAGCTCGGTCATATTTATATCACTCTTATAAGTCCCCTACCAACGTAGTTGAAGGGGACTTTAGGTTTGCACTCTGTCCGTCCGTCCGTTAATCCGTCTGTCCGGCAAATCAGCTTTCCACACTTTTTTTGTCATGCTTGAAGATATTGGTTTGATATTTGGTATATAGTATAACCATGACAAGTTACAGATCAAGTTCTAATTTTGTTCCGGTTGGATGATTTTTTGCAGAGTTATTGCCCTTGGACTTAGAAAAATCACACAAGTAATCTGTTTTTCGCACTTTTTTTCGTCACGCTTGAAGGAATCGACTTCATATTTGCCATATTATTTAACCATGACAAGTTATAGATCAAGTTTGAATTTTGTTCTTGTCTGATGATTTATTGCAGAGTTATGGTCCTTGAAATAGAAAAATTCACTCAAATAATTGGTTTTCCACATTTTGTTTTTTAATGCTTAAAGGTATTGACTTGATATTTGGCATATAGTTAAATCATGACAAGTTACAGATTTAGTGCGAATTGTGTTCCGGTCTAATGATTTTTTGCAGAGTTATGGTCCTTGGACTTAGAAAATTAATGCAAGAAATACATTTTCCACTTTATTAGCTCACCTTTCCTAAAAGGAAATGTTAGCTTTTCTCATCACTTGGCGTCCGTCGTCGTGGTCGTCTGTCGTCGTTAACAATTTTTTTAACATCTTCCCCTCTGAAACTACTGAATGGAATTGGATGAAACTTAGCATGATTGTTCCTTAGGGTATCCTGCACAAAGTGTGTGCTTCGATTTTTGATCCATCGAAAAACATGGCCGCCGTTACTAAAAATAGAACATAGGGGTCAAACAACAGTTTTTCCCAAATATCTAAAAAATCCTTAGGTTAAGGCAAATTCTGGCAGGTTGAAAGTGTTTACCATGATGAGAGCTACCTGAGTGCAGATTTTCGTGAAAATCTGTTAACTGATAATTGAGTTAGTGCCCTTTTTTGACATTTTTGGCCATTTTTGATGTTATTATTTCAAAAATCTTCTTCTCTGAAACAACTGTTCAAAATCAAATGAAACTTGGTAAGGTTGTACATTAGGGTATCCTGCAAAAAGTTTATGCTTGGATTTTTGATTTGTCGAAAAACATGTCCGCCATTACTAAAAACAGCTAGAACATAGGGGTCAAAATGCTGTTTTTGCTATTTTTTCCAGAATAATAGAAGAAAATGAAGATGAAAGCTACCTTTCAAGGTAAACATGGTATCCTGAGTTGAATGGTGATGGTGAAAATTTGTTTTGGGCAGCCATTTTTAAAATGGCAGCCATTTTCCCGCCAAATTTTAACACTTGCTCGGATTTCAATGATATTTGGTTAGTATAGTAAACATGGTATCCTGAGTTGGATGGTGATGATGAAATTTTTTTCTGGGTGGCCATTTTTTAAATGGCTGCCATTTTTCGGCCCATGTTTACACTTGCTCAGATTTCAACAATATTTGGTTTTTAAAGTAAACATGATATCCTTAGTTGAATGCTGATGATGAGAATGTTGAATACATGCTGGTCTGTGTCCACACTTGTTACAATAGTTATTTACAAAAGTTTTTCTAAGTGATCACTGAATTGAAATGTGCCTATTTGTTTTCTGAATTCGTAGTATTGATGAGAAAGGTAATTTTGGTTTTCATAATTATAACAGTATTTAAAATATTTATATTCTTAAAAGATACAACTTGCTGCTGTTATCATTTTTTTATACAACCGCAATTAATTTGCGATCATGGATGTATATTGCTATCACGTCGGCAGCAGCGGCGACGTCCGTAGACAGATTGGTTTCCGGACAATAACTTCAGTATAAGTGTATGAATCTTTATGAAATTTAAACAATAGGTTCTATACCACAAAACAGGCGGAATCAAAATTATCTCCCCATTATTCCTCAGGTAAATTTTACCTGTGATAAAATGGTAATTTGTAACAAGGATGCACAGCCAAGTTACGTCTTAACAAATCACGATTTAATGCACATTGCATTATTGCAATCTGTACACGAAAGTGTTATAAGAAAAGGTAGACGTATCAGCTCTCTATTACACATCATATAATGTTCTTCAAGGTCTTTTTTTCGATAAAATATTACTGTCTGATTGGTTGTCATGGTAGATTTACGAAAGTTCATTAAAACACTGAAAAAATTATAATTAATTATTTCCTTGGGGGCAGACTAGAAATTTTAAGACGTTGAAGATCAATATCCCTAGATAATACATAAAAAAAATTAGAAAAATTGGAAGGTATGTATTTTTTTATCCACTTGCAAAGTATGTAGTCAAGGACTTTTGGTAAAAATTAAGGGGGGTGCAAGTAAACGGTGTGTCCGAATTTTCTTTAAAGTGCATTTGCATGAGTAAAATGATTAACTACTGTTGAAAAATGGATAAACTATTACTAATAAAAAGTACCAGTATGACAGAACATTAAAATTAGTTCTTTTGAAGTAGTTAAAAGTCTTAATTTGTATCATTCGAACACACCTACCATGCCGTAATGACTCATTGCAAAGGCATGTCATTTGACCCATATATTTTATTCTTTAATAAAGTGATTTCTAAAGCCATTTTGTAAATATGTATGCTTTATATATAAAAATAATAGAATCCGAAGCGTAATGTTATATCAATTCTTTTTGTTTTATATGCTTTTTGGACAAAACAGTAAACTCAAACACGCCCAACTTTCAAAAGGTCTACCCGACTTTTAATTGCGATAAAATATTTAGGATTTTTTTTCTAAATATTGATGCAGGGGGCAGAAGGGAAATTTAAGCTTTCAATAGATACATCTTTTATCTTTTCATGGATTTTTTTTCGGCGAAATTTAAGGGTATGTATTTTTTTTATCCACTTGTTTGTGTACCTACTCTAATCGGCCTATTTACTGAAATTCGTCTTTAATCTATAAGTTATGAAATATCTTTTTAATCCGGACTCTTATATTGATAAAAACAAATATATAAGACGAAAAAAATCTTAAATTATGCAATTACAATTAACTTTTAACAGCCATAGAAACAGTCATAAACAATCTCGAGACCATTTTTAACTTCTCTAGTCAAGAGTACCATTTCTTTTGTTTAATTTCAACTGGGTTTCCGACTGAAAAGGAATTTTTTTTCTTAATTTTTTTTTTTAATTTTTTTTTTACAATTTATTTTGCTATTTCTTTGTTTTTAGTCTGAAAACAGATTGAATAAGAACAAAGTAGTAAAAAATAATTTGGGGGATGGGTGTCAACTTTTTTCTTCTTCAAGATTTTCGAAAATTTCCATTTAGGGGAAATTTTTTTTCGGGGGAGGGGATTATTTAATTTTTCTCAATTAATTTTGCTAATTCTTTGTGTATAGTCTGAAAACAAATTTATTTAGTATTACGCAACAACACAGTCTATTGCACAACAGCAGGGACGTATATAGTCCTTGACAACAGTAAGAAATCTTCAATTGAACATTATTTTAAATCATTTAACCAATTTCAAGATCTTTGACTACATGTACATTAAGTAATTAAATAAGAATATTTACAAAGAATTAGCAAAATAAATTGAGAAAAATAAAATACCCCCCCCCCCCCCCCCCCCCCCCCCCCTTTTCCCTGAAAAAAAGAATTCCCCAAATGGAAATTTTCGATAAATCTTGAAGTAGAAAAAAGTTGACACCCATCCCCCAAATGATTTAACCAATTTCAAGATCTTTGACTACATGTACATTTATTCTTTGTCAGAAACCTTAAAAGTGTCAAATATTTTAATACAATCCAAATTCAGACCTGTATCATGCTTTAATATTGTGTCCATTTTTGCCCCAACTGTTCAGAGTTGGAACTCTACAGTCATACCCAGCTGCGCTCGGCGAAGCACATTTTTTATGACATTCCGTTATTCTGTTTTGAACTTATGTTATTTAAAAGGGGGGGGGGGGTAAATGCTAAACGTGATAACCTAAGGATTTAACATGTCCTTCAGTCCATTGAATATCTTCAGCTGTATGTATTTTTAATTAAACACTTATTGTTTAATGTATATTTACTTGTATTTGTTCTGTATTTTTTCACTAATATGTATTGTTTGAAATTGATAATAAAGTTGCTACTGTTTTAATTTAAACAAATCTTAAAAACTGTATTTTTCTTGATTTTTTCCTCCTTTACTCCGTCCATCATTCCGTCATTCTGTCATTCCGTCTTTCTGCCATTCTGTGTGTCCGTCCAAAAGACCTTGCATATTAAACTTTCGTCAAAGATTTCTTGGCTTCTATGAAAGGGAATGGTTATATTTAATCCGAGCTTGATCATGTTGAGTTGTAACATGTAAATTTTAAGGTTTGCAGTGCAGCCACTTCCTGTTAGCCGATAGTTTGAAATTAAACCATTCAATGTACCAGGAAATTTTTCGTCAAAGTTTTCTTGGCTTCTATATGAAAGGGAATGATTTTATATTTGGTCCAGAACTTGATCATGTTGAGTTGTAATGTGTAAGCAGTTTTTAGGTCTGCAGTGCAGCCTCTTCCTGTTTGCCGATAGTTTAAAATTAAACTATTCAATGTACAAGGAAAAATTTTCATCGAACTTTTCTATTTAAGGGAATGATTTTATATTTGGTCTAGAGCTTGATCATGTTGAGTTGTAATGTGTAAGTTATTTTTAGATCAATAGTGCAGCCACTTCCTGTTTGCCGATAGTTTTGTACAAGGAATTTTTTTGTCAGAGATTTTTTGGCTATTATATATATGAAAATGAATGATTTTATATTTGTTCCAGAGCTTGATCATGTCGAGTTGTAATG